GAAGCATGTGGGGCGTGGGTGTTATGTGTGTGGGTCGGGTGCGCGAGCTAGTTGGGGAGTCCAGCGGACTTCCTCGTAGCGGCGTTTCGACTCTTGACAATGCTTGTCCTCACTACCAGTGAAAATTAAGTAATTGACCATTGGGATGGCGCCAAGCGAAATTGCTTGGCCGGTCCTGCGCACAGCCTGTGCAGCCATTTGCTTTCACAGCTATCACATTGGCGCGTTGCCCGCCATGGACGGCTCCGGCACAGAGTGGCACTTTGCATGCAGTTGTTTGTTTCAAGGCGCGGCTGAGCGTGACAGACCCAACCACGGCCGTGCATCGCCTGGCTCGTTATGGCAATGGAGGCACCAACTGTGCTGTGCCAGGGTCGACCCTTGCTGGCGCTCCAAGTGCTGCAGCAAACATATCGAGTACACGAGAGGCAAGACAGGTCATGGGCACCGGTCCAGTCACGTCGCACAACTTGTGCCCGTGACGCTGCCACTATGCATATGCAGGCCGCCAGCACCCTGCAAACTGCGGCGCCACTCACTCTAATCTCCACTCCGCGCCAACAGCGAAACAGTGGACTGTTCGCTGTTGATACATCTTCTTACCTCCCGTATCCGTCTATCCATACCACATACCCAATGAGCAACACTTTGAGCCTACCCCTTCCCCCCCCCTCCCCCCTCTCCTGCGGGAATCTTTGAAAGTCTGTCACGTTAGCTCAGTGCCCTACGTCTAGCAAAACTCGCATCGGGCCACACAAGAACGGGTGACAACCAGGCCAGCAGAAGGCCAAGCAACTCCCATCGACGCACTCGAACTGCGCTCGTTCTCAGTTGTCATTGCTTACGATCACAGCATGAAGCTCGAGTTGCCACAGTTCTGCCCAGGTGTGCAATGCCGGTTGATCGCATTCTGGCCACAAAGACTGAAACACTTGGCGCACCAGTGCGTACACGTTGTGGGCGACCACTAAGCAGGGACCATGGTTGCTTCCTCGGTCTGAGCCGCCTCCTTTGCAGGCTCCTGCACTTGCACCGCAGGAACCTGGCCATGCAACGCAATGCCAAGTCATGCGCAGAAACGAACATTAACGCAATTGCATCGAGCCAAGAAACAACTTCGAAAACATCAACGCAATTGCAGTCAGTCCAAATGAGCCTCTGCTGCTGGCAAGCCAAATGGATCACGGTACATTGTATTTTATCTCGAAAATAGACAGGATGGGACAAGCAATGCGATCGCAGGTTGAGGATGCCAAGTATTTGGCCACACAGATGGCTGCACATGCAATCGGAAGCACGCAAACAATCAAGTGGTCACGTGATTAGGGTCCTGGCACGGTTGTCTGTTGTGATGATTGATGCAACGTGGCCAGAGACCTTGGGGATGGGGAGTCGCACAGAGTGCACACACACCAGCGCAACTGGCACACTCTGTCTACAACAGTGCCATTTCAGGTCCAGGAGAAAAAGACAAACACCACTCGAGAGGAGAGACAAATTCCGTTGGCAATGTCTGCCACCACCTAACACAAGCCTGGTGCAAGAAGGTATTTTGGTCCAGCTTCAGTTATGCATTACCGTGCAGCCCCCCACCCCACCCCACCCCACCCCACCCACCCTACCCACCCCCACACACACACCTGCACACACACAAGAACTTCACAGACCAGCTACCAGAGAAACAACGCCTTCTCTTTGCATCATCAAGCAGCGGCTGCCGCAGCAGCGGCTTGTGCGAATTCACAGCGTTTCGCCACAACGCCAGTGGCCTTGTGACGTGCATGCTGAGCGTTCCAAGAACATCGAGTTGGCAGCACTCTGCCACGCGCTGGTCCCGGGGAGGCTGCAGTGCTCATGTGGCGCACCGTTTTTGGCACTGAAGGGAGCGGCTCAGCAGGGGCCTTGGGGGCGGCTGGGAGGACCTCCAGCTCCAACACCTTGTACTCCTCCAGTGCCTCATCTTCCAGCTCGGCATCCATCCCCTGCCCAAGGGCCTCTTGCAACCGTTCCTGGAAAGAGCAGACCTTCTGGATTAGCTGTGGGAGAGCACGCAGCGCAGTGCTGCAGCGCAGGCATGGCCACAGCTCGTGTGCGGGAGTTCACAACAGGTACACCAAATGCTCGCAAACAAGCGCAACGTGCATGCGCAAGAATATCACAATAGATACCCCCCAAGTCTGGCCTAAGGCAGATGTATCAACAAGATGCTAACAAGTGGCACTGCCAATTCTTGGTCCTGAACCACAAAAGTGAGCAGTGGAATCCTATATCTGTTTTCCTGTTGTGCTGTGATTGAATGTCCAGAAACAAAACTGGCGATAACAGACTGGCTGATTTAATTGACTGGTCAATTGCTGCAGTGCTTGTCAAGTCGCCCCATCTCATCCCGCTGCTGGACTTGCAAGGGAACCGGAAAGAGGAAGGTCACAGCATCACAGTGGCACAGGGACACTGTTCAGCAACTACATGCAGTACTTGCTTGCCAGATGCGAAGCCACCCTCAGCTGGTGCCATATGTTGAGAGTGAAAGCCACGTTTCAACACCTCAGTGAACCAGTACTTCCTTTGGTCAGGTAAGCAATCACAGATAGTGCACAATGAAAGTAGAATTCCAGCTTGGGTTCAGACAAATTGGGATTTAATGGCCTCTGACCACATTATGCAAGATTAGCCTGTCCAAACAGCCTGCAAGAGCTCCCCACCCCACCCCTCCCCCATCCTTCTCTCTTTGTCTCTCCTAACAGGCCATCGCACAGCTTGACCTGATGAAATTAGGTCAGGCATGTGCAGAAATGGTAGTGTAAATCTTCCACACCTGATATTCCTTCGCCTCGGCCGTGTCTTCCATCAGCTTCTCCACATCCTCCACCGTCACCTGCAGGAAGTCACAGTCGCATCACTGCACTAGACACAATGCCATTACCGCAGCAGGGTTCCAGCTATGATGTTGTGTGCAGGAAAAGCTCACTCCTGTATGCTGTTAGAGCAAGGATCAGTAGAGACAACGTCTGACGATGGGCGTGCAGCCAACATGTCAATGCCACATACCTGTAGGTCTGCAAGTCCAAAGTTAATAAGATACAGATATGTGCTGAACCATGTGATGAAACGACCAGCAAGTAAGCTATATTTGTCTGCAACAGTCTCAAAATATCTCTGTCACATCAGGCGTCAGGGCATTCCACAGCTCCAATCCCCACTAGTGACCAACAGGTGGGGAGATGGTGCTGGCTATTCTGGAACACCTTCCGGCTGGTCATTGCAAGATATGATCCTGCAGCTCAAATGCACAGCCACAAAAGATGAGATACTCAGGCATTGAAATGGTGCTCCCCAGGAACCTCACCTCCTGCCGAATTAGCTGCATGGCTTCATTGCCTTGCTTCAAAGCAGCAAATAGCTGGTTTTGTTGCCTTGCAAGGCCAATGTTTGCAAGCTGCATCCACACAAAACGCCCATTGGTGAATGGAAATGCCACCTCAGGAATATCGATGCAGATTTGGCACAATGGTTGCCTCATAATTTCTCTGCACTGCACTACATTTTTAAGGTCGCAAGCAGGGACATGTCTTGTGAGGGTGACGTTGCTGTCGATTCAAGACTGCCTAAATGGTTGGAACGTTGGTTGCCAACAATCCTTGTCTACGAAGTGTAGGAGTCAGGTCCTAGGGGTAAAAAAGCTAAGCAGAGCAGACAAGCAGGCACCTATTCCCAAAATCTAACGGCTGGATAAGTGCTGACAGTAAGGCTTGCCCACAATACCTGCAGGGTGCAGGTCACTTAGATTATTTCAATATAGTCACTGTGGACTTTCAAATCTTCAGCTGTTCTAGCTCGTTTAGGGTGCAGACAAGTGCAACAAGTGACTGCGAGTAGTCAATTCCATATTTACCCAGTATTAGTATCCACCCCCTTCTTTGGGGTTCGAAACCCCGTTAGTATCCATGACCCGGTGTTAGTAACCACCCCCCAATCTCAACAGAGCAGAAACGACGGAAGGCGCGGATTGTGGCAAGGGATGCCGGCAGCTGGTGTTGGGCCGCGTTGCCCAGTCTGGGCCAAACCACGTTCCTACGATTTTCGCATCGATGATGACGATCGGGTCGGCATGGATGCTGTTGAGGGAGAAATTGGCAGGAGCCCCCCGAAAGTCCATGGAGTTGACAAGCTGCCGTTGGGGCTTTCAGCACAGGATCGCTGGGCGGCGACCGTCGCCGCTAGCCCGATCAAAGAAGCGATCGAGAAAGCAAAGCCTCCCTGGTTTCTGGATCGAATCAACCTGCTCCCCGGCCGGCCAGAGCGGGTTCCGGTGACGCCTGCCAAGGCCACCCCAAGGCCCAGCACCAGGAACGGGCAGGTGACGGTGCTGGTTGGGCCAGCCGCCTTTGTGAGACAGCACCTCGAAGCTGGCCTAGACACGCCGGGGTGCAACGTCGCAACGACGGATTTGGCCCCCGGCGCTTTCCCAGGGTGATGCCAGCTGGGATAGCTGATGGAATCTGTGATTGGCCAAACATACAACAAAACAAAACGGTTTGCAGCAAGGCAACTGTGCGGTTTGGGGACTGCTCCTCCCTTTATGGCGTTTTGCGGGCCATGCCAGTCCTCGTTCTTCGCATCGCGGAGGCAAACGCGCCTCCAGCAGTCCAAGGGACCCCTGTTGGCCCCAATCGCCAGTCGCCCCCGCCTGGTGCAGCCGTCCAGGCCGCTGGCTCCGTGAGGAGGCTGACAACTTGCAGTAATAGCATTGCTCACTAACAATATGGTGTTGTCAATAGTGTGGTGCCTGTTATTTGTAACTTGGACTTGGTGATGCTGCTACCTATACACTGCACCTTACAATATTTCAAGCCCATTTTTTGGGCATATCACAATCTGTGTTTCACAAATTTTCCTTGTCTACCCCTGAAATAGTATCCATGACCCACTATTAGTATCGACTGCTCATTTTGGGGGTCCAACACACGCCTACTATTACTGAGTAAATACGTTATCTACATCCTGCCATGGCTGTGTGCTGCCTGACAAGACTTGCATGCTGTGATCGTCTTTGGCAGCTTCTGACAACTTTTTGAACAGTTGTCTTTAGCAGCTTCTGACAATCTTCTAAATTGTGGAATAGAGTCAAGCATCCAGTGCTGAGGAGAAGAAGGCCGATGGAGGGGGACAAGTGACAGAATTTTGCCACCATGAAATGCAACAACTACACAGGAACAGTTACCCCCCATGAGACTTTCATACGATTGTGACCTGACACCGATGAACATGTCACTTACAGCAACGTCTGGGACAGGAGCATAATAGGTTGGCTTTGCACCAACCAGATACAACAGTAAACCTCATTCCCCAGAACCTATACAAACAATCTCCACGTGGCAATCCCCATGTCCAGGCATCACAGTCAGTAAAGCCAGCCGCCCACAAAACCCACCATGCTCTCCACATTGAGGAGCCAGGCATCCAGCTTTTTGACTTGCTCCTCCTGCATCTTCTTTTTCTTCATGACCAGTAGCGCCAAGTCTTTCTTTTTCTGGGCAATTAGGCCCCTCGCGACTTCCACATTCTTGTCAATCAGTGCTTCGATCTGGACAGCACAAATCCTCAGTCAAGGCAGTTGTCAAAATACCACAACTTGTGCCCTTCCACCTGTTGGACATTGTCGGGCGTGTTCACATCAGCAAGCGTTGGCCCCAAAGGGCTTTTCTATTCCTCCACCACTGACCAGACAACTGTCAGCGTCCTCTACAAGAAGCCATATGCCCCGTTCATGCTGAGCCCAATGTTGCGTGCACCGTTCGATTTGCACACGGAGAACAACACCGTATCACTAACACGATGGAAAAGAGTGCCAATGTTGACAACCAGGTGCTGGCTAGTGTACGGCATCCATTCTCTCAGAACTGTCTGTGTCAACTGTTGCTACTCTCAGCAGTTCACTGCGACTTATGCCGAGGCTGGCCAAAAGCCTCACACACAGATAGCATCCTCATTTTCCTTTGGCTCAGGTGGACAATAATGTGCCCATTCAGGCCACGAGATGCAAGGGTGTGGGCATGTTTGGCAGTTCAACCAGGATGGGACAGAGGCATAATCATTTCTGGTGTCGATACACCATGCAATCTGTAAACTGAAAACAGCACACACCATAGGACAGTATGTGGGGCAGGTGCCAAGCAGTGCTACTGGCTGTGAATGCCAACAGTGCCAATGGCGAAGCAACGTGCCCACTCCATGGTGACATGCATACCAGATCCTGAGCCTGCATTCATACTTCAGGTGGCAGAACAACCACGGCAAACCAAATGGCGAAGCCTTAAAAAATGACAAAAATCAGATCTTTGTCAACTTCTCTGCTGAAAAGTTAACAACGATGGTGTTGCCGAAAACTAATTAGTAACCACAGCTCAGCATCGGTTGACATATGCAAGGCCACAGCCTCACACTCACCCTCTTGCGCTCCGCCCCAAGTTTCCTCCTTTGCGACTTCAACGACAGGACAGCCTTGTCCTCCTCTGTGATGTCCGGCTGCCGAGGCCTGCAGCGAGGACATAACAGGCAGGGGTCCCTCAACCACCAAGCAGGCCCACCTGAGTCCCTCTTTTCGCGCTCTCACTTCTGCCATAATCTCGCCCGTCTTCCGAATCAGATCGAGAACAGGAAAAAAGAGCACCAGCGCCCTTCCCTCAGGGGGGTTGGGGTGGGGTGGCTGCAGACGCTTCCCCTCCACGCCATTCCCAACCACTGCCAACAATTGGCTCCTTACTATCACCACATTGTGAAAAAGCACGCTTAGGAGCTGCCGCACACCCCACAGCCTCCCCCTCTGACAATCATCGGCGGTCGCCGAGGGGGGTGAGGGACCAGGTTGTGGAACCCTGCCGGTGCTAAGTGCCATCTGAACCCTGGCTCCTGGAGGCAAGGGCTGGTTTGGCCGCCCAGCCCGCTCACCTCTTCTTGCCCGAATGATGGGACTTGCTAAATAGCGTGCCCATGGCGCTCAGACGGCCCTTCGCTTGCTGCCGCGCCCGCTCCCGGTCACAGGTCCGCCCCCGCGGCAAGGCGCGCCTTTCAAGGGCTGTCCCGCCCTGGGGCGCAATGTACGGTCAGTACTTGACACCACGCCTCGCAGCCCACCCGCACTCAGGGCACCGGAGTACTGCGCAACGTAAGGCCAGTTCTTTCCACAATTCCTTGGAGCCGGTCCTCTGGGTACTGGAGTGCAACTGGGTGCCTTGGGGGCAAGTGCGTGCGTGCGGGGTTAAAGCCTCAAACTCGTCATGAACGCACAGATTGGGGGATGTGTGGCAAGGTAACTACACCGACCATCCAAAATCGTGCTTGGACTCTGCATCTCGTTTCTTTTGCCTGCCTTGCGCAACGTTTTGGGCCGCATCAAGCCCATCTGTACTCAGCCATCCAAAATCTCACAACAGAAGCCATCCAGTAGATGCCAGGTGGCTCGCCCATGATGCTTACCACCCTGCCTCGATATGCAATCTTTCCTGAATAAATTATTGGCTCACCCACGAAGAAAACCTGAAAAATCCTGGACTTTGTTTGTGTCAAACACAAACAAAGTCCAGGAACTTTTCAAAAGGGCATAATGGGGATAGTTTCATGTGTGATACTTCCCCCCTTCCATATTAATTGTCGTCTGTTTGAGAGAGAACTCTCGTCATGAAAACAATATCTAATTACAAATGGAGGCCAGAATCGGAAAGAGTGGGTCACAAATTGTTTAAGTTCGAATTTTCAAAATTTCTATTGCTGTACCTCTTTGCCAGCACCCTAGTGACCTCAACTCTGAACAGCGCGAATAGTTTTGCAAGGACGGGTTTGTTTCACTGTCACGAAGGCATGCTCCTCAAAACAGCCCAAAACGGCCGTTTTTCGGCGCAACGTACCAAAGCCTTTTCTGGCCAGAAGACCCTTGCTACAAAGCACTGCCAAATCCTCAATACTTAATGGATTGACTTGAAATTTTGACAGTATACTCCAACCTCATAAGGACAATTTTGGGGCAAATTTCATTGAAAACTGATGTAGGCACGATGGAGAAGTAACGCACAAAATCACAGACGACAATTAATATGGGACAGAAGAAGTATACATTAGATTTCAGTGAACTGATAGTGGACACTGCTTTGCTCGGGCAAATGGGAAGCCGACAGCTGCATCCTTGCTTCGTTGTGTGAAAGTGAATGAGAACGGTGATGCAAAAAAGAACCCTGGGGGCCTGGGGCGAATGTTTTTTTTTTGATCCTTTTTTTGCCTCTCCACCGAACCCTACCCCACCTTCGACCCAGCTGCGCAGGGACGCCCACCACCCACAACACCCGCCTTCGAGCAGTTCCTCTTCACGCACCTCTTCAAGCAACGCAGCGCGCTCCGGACCACCGACACCCCACAAGTCCGCGCCACCCCATCGTTGCTGCCGGCGCCGGGCCGCACGTCCGCAAGGAGGGCCGCGCTCTCGGGGACCACCCCTCTCGCCTCCGATTCCCAGTCCCTGAAGATGTTCGGGCCGCGCTTCAACGGGAACAAAGCGTAAGGAGCTCCTCCCGGCGCCGCCCCCCGCCCCGCACCTCTGCCTCAGCGAATTCAAGAATAGCTTGCTGAAGCAATTGTTCTGCTCTCTGCCGCGCAGCAAGACGCAATGCCGCCTGTGCGTGGGCCGCATCAAGCTGCTGAAGAACAAGCGCAACATCCAGGTGCGGGGCGACTACCCCGACGGTCCGACAACGCGCGCCCGGTTCCCCCGCCGGCATTGTCGGGAGCGGAAAGCGCCCTTGCCAGCCTGCGCCATCACTCCCGAAACCCCCTTTGGCCACGTCCGCCCGATTCTGGCCCTCTTGGCGATTCCCCATCCTCCCGACCTCATGGCTGAGCTCCCAGTTGCAGAAAACGGCGGGTACCTAACTTGTAGAGCTCTCACTTGGAAAACAATCGCGCTGACCTGAGCCCCATCGCCCCTTGAACCCGCGCAGACGACGCAGGTGCTCGAAGAGTTCGCCGAGCTGCTGCGTGCCGACCGTGGCGAATGCTTCAATCCGCGTCGAGACAACAATCCGCTCGACTTTGGTCATATCCCCGAAATGCCATCCTCCCAACCTCACGGCAGAGCTCCGCATTTGCCAAAAATCGCGCTAGCTTGAGGTGCCCCACTGCACACTTTGCGAAAGAGTCTCGCTTGCTCTTGCTTAGGAGTGGGTGCCATTCGTATGGCCTGTTTCATTCTGTTTCGGTAACAACTCTCACCCCACTGCACACTTGACCCGCGCAGATGGCCCAAATGCGCAAAGAGGTCGCCGAGCTGCTGCGAGCCGATCGCGGAGAATACGCCTGGATCCGCGTCGAGGCAATCATCCGGGAACGGAACCTCAACGCCGCGTACGAGATCCTCGAGTTGTACCTGGAGCTGGTGGCCGTGCGCGCCGGGCTGCTGGAGAAGGCCAAGGAGGTGCCGCCCGACATGGTGGAGGCGATCACGAGCCTGATGCACGCGGCGCCGCGCGTGGCGGACCTGCCCGAGCTGCTGCAGGTGCGGTCGCTGCTGCAGCACAGGTTCGCCAAGGAGCTGGGACCGGAGGACCCGCGGCAGGGGGAGTCCAACAGATGGCAGGTAGGGGCGGGATTTATTCTGTGATTGCTTGGGATCGATTCTGTGACTGCAAGGGAATGATTTTGTGGATGCTGGGATCGATTCTGTGACCAGAAATTCTGAAGGGACGAGTCGATGCTGGAAGCTCTGTGTGCAGCGGTGGCTTGGGCCGCGGCTGGCTCTGCGGGGGCGCGAGGCTCGCGGTTGCCGCTTTTCATGGGGGGGACTCGGCAAAGATTCCGGCAGCCTGGGCGAAGCGTTCATTCATGATTCGTGGCCTGGCTGGTGGGAATCTGTTCTTGTGCAGGCAGCTGATGTTGTTCGTTGGCTTGCGGGGTGGATCAAAGACGGGAGAGTGGTCTGTGCCCTCCCATGCTGGTGGAAGTGCACAGCAGCAGGAGGCACGCACTCTGAGAAAGACCGTTGTGGTCCACCTGGTTGCGCTTGGCTGCATTGTCCTTTGCCCCTGTTGGCTTGGTCGCTTGTATATGCCAGCTTCTTGTGTTGCTTTGCGGGGCGGCGTTTCGCTTTTTGGAAGGGAGAATGTTTTCACAGAAGTTCTGTTTGCGTTCGCTGCTTTCTCACTTTGCGCACTTCTGCACAGCTCTGAATTTACACAACATGGGGCCAGAAGATTGCCAGAGCCTATGCAACAGTCATTGGGTTGGTTGGTTGCCAGAAAAAAGCAAAAGAGTTGGACTGCTACACGAAATCTGCTGCTGTCGGTTCTGGGGCTGCCGTGTGTCGGAATAGAAACTTTCCTTGGACTGCCCACAACGGACAAACGCAACACTGCGAACAACACTTTCTTGCCAACCATGAACTCTATGGTATAGGGCCAACTGAAACGTTGTCAGGTTTGAACGTACTGCTGTAAGTTAACCACCCACCCAGAAATATGGAAGGCACGTTGAATTGGCAATTACCTCTGTGATCCTCACTGTCTGCTTCTTCCACCAGGTGAACAACAACCTCCGCCGCTACCTGTCTGTGGCAGCACCCGAGCCAGAAGACAAACTGTCCACTCTGTCGCACATTGCCCAGGAGCACGATGTGGAATTCGACATGGAGCAGCTCTCAATAACAGTCATGGTTCACACAGAGGAGAAGCTTGACACTGCAGGCCCAGAGTACCATAAAAATTTGCATGATATTACTGGTGAGTATGGGATGATGGCTCTTCTTGTGAACATAAACAGTCCTTTGTAAAAGATGTGGCCATGTTATAAGCGCAAACAGCATGATCCATCTGAAGAGCAAGGGAGCAAGAACACTCCCTGATATACTGTGCAAAAGACATTGTGCCAGCATCACATGTTCGATCAAGTGTTGACCCAACACTGTCACGCATCGTTGAAAAGGTGACAAAGCCCACATTTGATGTGATAGGGCAAAGGTGGTGCACATGAGCATTCGAATGGGATCCGAACTTTGAGCAGGCACGCAGATCTGCTGCCTATATGCTCGACTGTCTCAACTGTCTGCCAGGTGGTATCCTGAACCTTGGATGCAGCTGGCAAGGCCACTGTGGGTTGTTCGTGTGTATGTGGGCTTGAAAGATGCCGACATTGTGTGGCTTCTTGGTTGGATAGCTGTATGGCATACAGTTGGTAAAACCATTGCCAAACAGAACAGTTAGCGGCCACATGTAGGAGCTTCTCCCCAACTGTCAATAGTGAATGCTGATGTGAATTGTGTGGCTCTGCAATCCACAGGACCTGCGGATGTTCCTGCCTCCCCTGTTGCAGTGCCTCCGCCCGTTCCGCAGCCAGCAGCAACACCACACCCACAACCAGCAGCCCTGCCGCCTGCACAGCCCTATGTGCCACCAGAGGTGCCCAACTTCGAGGTCCCCCACGCTGGGCCATCAACGGTAGGGCGGTTGATCGAGAAGATTGGAACTGATGGTGTGCAGCAGTTTGTTTCTGCACATTGTGGTCCCAATGTGGGGATGCATGAATATATCCTGACGCGCAGCACGGCGAAACGCTGATGGGTTGATGCTGCTGTCGTATTGTCATGTTTGAACTGGAGACTCCTGAAAGGCGATAACACCTTGCACTTGACTGTTAGGGTTGGGAAGTGCCTTCGCAAAGCCCATTTCAAAGGTCTGTTAGTACACGTTGTGTGTGGCTGCAGAGGGGCGTAACTTTGACCACATTTAGACTGCATGTATTTCTAACAGCGATGTGGCCCCATCTGTAACATAGGCAGCATGGGATTGTTGCATGCTACAGCATGAACTGAACAACCCTAATTTTGCAAACCAAGAGTGGGCGCAGAATGTCAGAACGAATGGATTCCGTCCTGGTTTCTTCATCAATGGACCCAGGCGTCACAAGGCAAAAAGGCAGGCTCAATGCTTTGTTGCCTCCCTTGCATGTTGGTGAGGCATGCAGCGAGCATCTCCATCGCTTGTTCAAGACCACTCACAGTTACAGTGTTGGACATCAAACACACATGTTGCTTAGAACAGAGAGACCACGTACGTGACAGACAGACCATTCCCCTGAAATGACATGTGCTCGACACAGGCAGAGTCTATTCCTGGACCAGGCCTCCAACCCTTGGACTTTCTTGCTTGGCAAGCCATCTTTGTGCTCGTTGCACACCTCTGACCGACTGCCTCTGTGTTGTTCCAGGGTCCATACACCAACGCACAGACCGCGGCCACGGCCGCATTCAGAGCGGCGGAGGCGGCCAAGCAGGCTGCCGCCGCGGCAGCCAGGTATGCCGCCCAAGTGCCTGCCACAGCTCCTGCGCCAGGCCACCCAGCCCCACAGCCCCAGCCCACGATCTTTGGGTCACTGCCAGCAGGAACCCCAACTGGAACCCCTGCATCAACCCCTGCACCAGCACCAGCCCCAGCCCCTGCGCCGGCCCCGACCCCTGCACCGGCCCCCGCTCCCCTGGGTTTTGCCGCGCACACAGAGACGCCTCCCCCCCAGGCATGGGCCCCAGGCGCCAAGGCCACGCCACCGCCCACCCCCACTGTCGACTCCCCTGCAACGGTCCCTGCATCCCCCACTGGCTCATTCAAGCAGAAGACCAAGGAAGAGCTCCAGGCACAGTACGACGCGGCCCCTGGGCCCCCACCCAAGAAGGACCTGGGGGCCTACAAGGCGTCAGCCCCGCCAGCAGCTGGCTTCCCTGCTACCCCCGCTGATAGTCCCCCCATTCCGCACCGCGCTGTTTCTGGCGGTGGGGAGCATCTGCCGTCTGTGCCCGCTCCGGGCTCACAAGACTTGCCCGCCGTGCCTCAGTACCCGCCTCCGAGGGTGACCGTGTCCCACCCCAGTGCGCATCAAGACGACTTTCCCCAAGTGCCAAGGGGGGCACCGGCCGTGGACGACCTCCCGTCTGCGCCCACCGTTCCTGGGGGGATAAACAGCTATCCGAAGGACGAGGTGGACGCGTATGACAAGCGCATGGACGACCTGAGGAAGAAGGATTAGAGGGACCAGAGGGTGGCAGCGATGGGCGTGGTCGCCCTGGGGGGAGAATGTTGTTTTTGGGCGCTGATGGGAGGGGAGCACTGCACTCTTAGAGACACCAGCGGCATCCTGTGCAAGATGCGATAGACACTCGTTTGTGCCGCTGTTGCTGTTGTGTAGATAGGGGCCGAATTTCGCATGACAACACCGCAATTTAAAGGGACAGGTTCTCGCCGACGACACTTGTTTCTGGCTGCCGGACCATCTTGTAGATTCACATTCCGCTATCCGACCAGCTGCCTTGCTCTTCGAAATGCGCGAACCAACGCACTCGTGTGATTCAGGGCCCATTGCTCACAATTCCACAGCGCTTTTTTTGGCCATTCTTTTATGTCATATGGTGAGCAGCGCGAACCCCCCCCCCTCCCTTTGGATTTTGAAGGGAAATCTGTTTTCGATCTGTTGCCATTGGACGAGAGTCTGCACAGAAGAGTGTCCCCATCACACTGAACATATTACACAGGGCTACGCTATCACTCGCAGGTGGTGGTTTGTCAATGTGGCAAAACTAATCTAAGCCAACCACAACTACAGAATTCAACTATTGGCTCAACTTATCTCAGTCGGCCAAAAAGCTCTAGGGTTCACCAAGGTAAGCCATCAACCTTGTTAGACTAACCTCCACTACCTCGCTGACTCCAGAACCCCCCAACAGGCTCGTCCAGGAAAATTCACTTCTCAGGAAACAGAATCTGCGGCCAAATCTCTACCATGCTCGCCAGGAGGGCACACAGTGCGGTGGCTGCCTGGTGTCCATGGGCCACCGTCGAAAGCACAAATCCCGCGACGGCGCCAAGGCCATGATCCACAGACTTGATCCCAAGCTCTCCATGGCGACCGCCAGTGGTGCTGTCAGCAAACGAGATGGCACACCGACCAGGGCTCACATCCACGTGGGCCAAGTTTGCATTCTGTGGTGCTTACGCAGCACTGCAGACCCGCAGATCCACAGAGACCCACCGTGCACAACTTCACACTGCCAGTCGAACACATGACTGCGCATTTCCATCCGAAGCCTGGATTGGAGAAATGATGAGCACCTCAGCAGGCATGTGCCCATATGGGCTGCTGGGTCGACGAACACAACACCGCAATATCTCCCTGGCAGTTTGTTTGGGCACTGGCAAGGGATGGCATCTGTTCTTTCCAGTCACAGCCAAGGTTACGTGGGAGTACTGCAAGGAGAGAGCATGGCATTCTCAATCGCACTGGACACTCCCCCTGCCTCGGCCCTCTCCCATCTGACCTTCTCTGCCTGCACGATCCTCAGCAACCTGCTGGCCAAGCTGTCACCACCGCTGCCACCACCAGCACCAGACCCAGCCTCATGCCTGGCCATGCCTTGGCCGGCCCTCCCTACATTTAGGCAGATGAATGCCCTCTGGGCAGTGATGCCCCTGACCTCCGACCCTTGGGCAATGGTATCAGCTCCTGAAAGGCCATCCAAACCGCCATGCTTTGGGACAGAAGGGGATAGGGAGCCACAGGCCACATCTGCAACGCCAGGATTGCACCGCTCAACTGGCCTCCAGGGTACTTGCCCAAGAGCCACCTCTTCAAGTGCCTTTCGCGAATCAGATCCATGGGTTGACCTGCAGCCGATCTGGTCTGTGAATGTATTGTCCAATCTTGTGTTTGCAACAAGCGGGTTTGGATCACATCTGGTGGGAGCATCCCCACCCTCCTCTCCCATCCCTGCCCCTAACAGGCGTTGGGATTCAGGGGCGCCTCTGCTCTGTTGGGAATGGGGAGCCCCCTGGCTCGTGAGGTTCAGCACTGGGTGGGGGCTGCTCTTGGCGGGCGAGGTGACGCATGCCAGTTTCGATGCCAGAGAAGCATTGCCAGCACACTGGTCGTCGTCACTGCTCCCACTGATTATGTCATCGGAGGCAGACTCCTCCTGGCGCAGGAAAGAACCGCACAGCACATTTCACCACAATACATGACGGCTAACTACTTGGTAGCTGGATGTTTTGCCGACAACTGCACATCGCACAGAGGCACCTACAAGGCGTTGAAGGGGACTGTTGCCAACTACAGTATTAGGCACATTGGGATTCAGGACTGTTCAGTCTCATTTAGGATTAAGATGCGCAACTGCCTGAGCAATGGAGGATATTCACGATTTGCAAATGGGTTGGAATTCAAAATGTGGACTTCACGAATTGCAAATTGCAAACTCGAACTTGCGAGTCTCCAATAGCATCCTTAACCCCGTGGGCATCCAAAGAACATTGTGTGGTAGAGATTGTACAATGTTGAGCACAAGTTTAGGATATTGAAGGCTTATTTGGGTAACATGCAGGGATCTTTGTGCGCCAGAAACCAGGTCAGAAACAGGCGACTAGATGGGAAGGAAAGAGGCCACAAAACAGGCATCTCTTTCTTGCGTAGACGCATACAATTTCTTCTGCTTTCAATGACAGGCAATGCCCATCCCTTTGACTGTAAAGAGTCATGTCTCATGGCAAACTCTACAGAACGTACACAGCTCGATGGAATAGCATCTCTTTATCGTGTCATTTCATGTGCACACCTCTTGCCCACAGCTGGGTGCACCAGAAAACGATGCAGAACTGCCCCTCCACCTGGGGCCAAGTTTTCTCAGCTCGTCTGCTGACATTGTGAGGCCTTTCATGCACTGGGAGGGAGAAACATGTGTGGAGGGCTTTGTTCTCTCTGCAACATAACAGATGATTGAATTGAGAGTGGAACCAACATAGACAGGTCAGGTCTCCAACAGGATTTCTCTGTTTCTTCACAGGGGCTTCTGGCAAGGTCCCTGCCTTGAGGGCGTGTGGCTTGCACTGGGGCAGTAAACATATTTCAGGGACAAACAATGCTCAGAAATGCACAACAGAAACTTCCAAAAAGGCCAACAGAACACAAACACAAATACCATTCACCTGATTGCAGGTACATGAGAACACCTTGCCCATGCCTGCAAAAGAAAACTGTTTTTACTTGCACGTGTCTGTTGCCTCGTGTGCGCAGGCAGGTAAATCAATTTGTTGGCACCTAAATTTGCCGTCTGAATACAGAAACGGAATGGGCTGCAGTGAATTTGCTTCCACCCCGCAACAACATATTGAGGTGTGCTTTCTTTGCAACAAAGCTATTTTGAACTGCGATACTCTAAATGGCTGGAAAATGTGAAACTCATTCCACACAGACATCAAGCAACAACGATGATCAATGACATCTGGTGAACCACTGGATCAATGGAGTTCTGTCACAAAATGATGCACACTTCCAAACGTTCATGCAATGCAGGTGCTCGCTTTTGTATTTGTAGCTTGAGACTGGCAAGGTGGAGTTCCTTAACAGAAAATGAAACCAAGGTGCGGAACTTTGTTCTAAAATGCGTTCCTCGTGTGACAAGGACAGAATGTAACAGTGTTGGTTGGTGCCATACTTCTTTGTTTGGGAGTTGGGATCTTCCATCGAGGTCGCTTCCCCCAGCTGTGCCATCCTTGCGCACCTGGTGACCAACTGCCCTACAGCACCAAACACCCACATGACAAAATTATCCCTGTCTCCGGCAGAAGACGCACACAGTGCTCAAACACTTCTTGGGGTGGCAGTGCTGGCTGTGTGTGAGCGGCCACTTGCCACAGAGCGTTGCAAAATGTACCCAGCACTGCCAAGAGGTGCAACACCCTCACTGGCCATTTCCCTCAGATGCTTCTTAAGCAGAGTACCACACCTGGGCTCTTGGCTTTCGGCCTGCCTCTGCAGATAGCGCTGCTGCAGCTTGACTCTCCAGCTGCTTGTTTCTGATGCTTGCTCGGGAGCATGCCCCAGCAATCGATGCCATCACACTGTGCGATGCCTGCATCCCTTCAGAGCCCTTTTCCATCCACCGTACACGCTTCCTGGGGGTGGTGTCGCCGTCCAGTGCACTGCCGGTACAGGACCCATGCCTTCGCTTGTGGCTTTCCCCTGTTTTCCTGTCGTTAGATTCGTGCGCATGGCTTTCCAGGCAGGTTGGAGTGCTGCACCCCACCTTGGGGCCTGTATGATCTTTCGATGGATGTGGCGAGCCCAGCAGCTGAGAGTCCTTCACATTGGGCCGGTCTGCACATTGTTGGGATATGGCAGCAACAGGCTCTTTAATGGTCTGCTGCGCATTGTTGACACAGCTCTTCTCTGACCCCTTGTCCGTTGGATCTGGGGGTGGTGTGGAGAGAAGCTGAAAAAATAACATACCCGGTGTTCAGCATACCCATCAGTGGACATTTCACACAGTGTTGAGGTTTTCTGGTCAGCAAAGAGCTGTAGACTCCAGCATCTCAGACGAACATGAATGACAAGGAAGAATGACGAGTTGCCAGAGGATTCCAATGTACACGCAGCTGCAAGTTCCAGAATGGGTCGAGTTGGAGAAGTGCATTGGTGGTCTGCAACCTGCAAGTCTACCCAGGCAGTTTTGTGAAGGAGATACCAGAAAGGACCCCCAAATGACTGGTCAACAACAGATCGGAGCCATGTTTGAGGAAAGTGCAGTTCACAACATCTGAGCTGTGTTTGGGCGCCTGTGGGTGCACACAGCTCCCACAGGCAACAATCGAGATTGAAATATGGTGAGCGCATCGACTCTTGTACGTTGGCCAAAAGCACTGCCATTATCTTTCTTTACTTATCCCTTTCTGTGGGCAACGATGTCGTGTAGAACCCCACCCACAGGGCATTTGTCATACTAGCTGTTGGGACAAAGAGTCAATTGTCCAAGAGGGTGCTAGCACACACCCGATGTTCTTGTCCGCGGGACGTGATTTTCTTTCTTTGCTTCAATGATCTCTGCGCACCTGCAAGACACCCATCCCAAAGTCATGCCATCAGCAATCCAATGCCCAAATCAGCCGAGAATGCCCGTGCAGCCAAGGTGACGCCATTATGAGCCCAAAGAACGCGCGCAGGGTCTCTACACAAGCCCCAAATGGCGCATGCCGAACATCATCGTCGGAGCTCTGCGAAAGCCCAGTTTCGCACGAGCAGTCTGAAACGCAGCGTCGCGGTTGCACGCACGCTGCACTTCGTCGCCAGAAACGTGGGGGGCCACGATTCGTCAACGTCCAGGACTGCCTGTAAATGCTCCACACACACCGTTACCGGCTCCGCACGAGATCTTTCTCCGGACCCAAAGCGCAGCCCGGGCGCCTCCCTCAGACGGGTTCCGCGGGCCCCGTGCTTGGCCCCCCTGCGAGCGAACCACAATTTGTCCCCCGCGTCAGATCCCAAGTGACCCCGTCTCCTCATCTTCCCCACAGACATGCGCCCTTCCCTTCGGCAAGTCACACACGCGATCAGATCTTGCCGCAGCGCATCGGTCGCACCCTTCCCTGTCGCCTGCGATGCCTGGCAGCGCTCGAATCGCCGCGGCAATCCCTGGCTGACTCAACCGGTTGCTGGCGGCCACGCTACGCTTCCGCCACACGCGATTGTCACCGTCCGCCGCCGAGGCGCCCAGGCGCGGGCGCGGCGCAGGGGACTGCGACTTCGCCGCGGCGAAGAGCCGTCAAACATCCCCATGCACGCACCATTACCCCAGTTCATCCGCAAATCCATTAAATCCAGCAGGCCGTTCGCAAACGGCGAGCCAAACTTCAACCTGGTTTCCACCGGCAACGAAGGCAGTCGCAGAAGGCGCCATTTCCGGCGGGGTGCCCAGCCCCATCCCATCCCGTTGCGCCGGACATCCGCGACACCACCGAATCCTGCCAGCCGTTCGCAAAGGCCGGGCCAGACTTCAACCTGGTTTCCACCGGCACCCAAGGCGACCGCCCCAAAACGCCACCCCTCGCGGCGCGCCCCTTTCATCGCATCATGGGCCTCCCACCTTGGCGTGAGGCGGCGTCTTGACTTTGGCCCTCTTTCTTTGCGCACGGATGTCTTCCTCATCGTCCGACCATTCCCACCCTGCGATCCTACCAGCCCGGTCCCGGTCCTTTTCGGGCATCGCGAAAAACCGCCGGGGAAGGCGAGGGGGAGCTCGGCCTGCGGCCTGCGGCCAGCGGGGCGCCTGTGAACTACCGGCGACTGAGCGGCCGTCTCGTCGAGGGGATCCCGCGCTTTCAGGGCCCTGCGCTGACGTCAGCGCTGATGGGATGGAGCTGAAGCTGTACACTTTGGGGTTCAATTGATGAGCAGCCGTCTGTAATGGTGGTGATACGCTCTTGCGACCAGAACTGATCGAGCATCATAGCTGGACGCGAGAGGGGATGAGACAATAGGAACTGAGTTAAGGACAAGGAGGAACAACGACCGGATATGCAAAGAGATCACCGACAGGCATGTCCCCCTGCGCTCAAAGAACCATCAGTCTATCATGGACCGGTCTTTGTCGTATCAGCGGTGGACTTACTGGATGGTCGTGGGCTCGTGGGGTCATGGGTTCGATTGGTTTCTGTGCATTGAAGACGTCTTGTTGAGGAATGTTCCATTTTAAGCTGTAGGAAGGCATGGGGCGATGGATTTCTGTGCACAGAGCTCGCCTGGCGCAAACGTGAGACATTTGATTGTAAGCCTTTCAAAGCAGCCCAAACGAAACCCAGCTGCGGCAACAGGGAACGTGATGTGCACGTTCTTTGCCCCTGCGGTTACTTTGATGCTGCGTCGGCTTCAAGATCCAACAATCCTTGTCTGCAGATGGTCGTCTCGCCAACTTAACAGCCAAGGATGCCTCCGTCATCACCATCACGGGGACAGCCGGTGAGGATGCGGGTTGTGACTGGTTGCCACAATCTATGACAACGTGGCGGCCTCCGGCGTCCAGGCTGATTGGCGCGACTGTCATTCATTGGCATCACGTGCAGGAGTAATGAACGGGACACGTGTGGGGGACGCAAGATGTGGGAGTGTCCGTAGGGCAGGCTGACTCCATCGTTGACGGTGGCGGTGGTGTTGTGGTACAGTACTGGGAGGTGTGTTTCTACTTGTGTTGCTCAAGTCCCACCACAGCCGGGCGAGCGAACACAAGCTTGGCACAGAATTGGTCGCATGTTTAACAACAGCACTGCACAAGTAGGGAAGATGTCACAACTCAACCTGTAAGAAGATGGCTCATATCCCCCCCCCCCCCCAGAGTCCCTATTGCAGGTTTCATTACCTTCTTTGTTGTTCTCGTTGTCTGGGTAGTTTGGTGTGTATACGATCCCTGATATTCAACACACTATGATTTCGCCAATGTACCCGACTGGTTTTGACTTGGGGCTCCTGGTAAATCTTCATAAAGGTGGGGCAATAGTGGGTACATGGCTCATCATTCTGTCTTGAAACAATCCCGACGCAGATTCCAGCCGCTAGTACCCAGTTCTGGACTTTCATCAACAAGATTTATGTCAATGTACCCGACCTCAGTCCCAGCTAAACAGAACCCCAGAGGAGGGTACCGTTTGCCCTGTTCCATGTCAAATGAGGGATTGGCAGTTGGGCAACCAACCAATCAATCCCTGCAAGAGATGAACAGAGCCATACACAATGGGATGGCCCTTGTGGCTCAATGCAGGCTGAGCAGTTTGCACGGTGGAACCTTTTGCCTTTGGTGCCCTTCTGCAATGCCTTGGCTGTACTTCCTCACAAATTCTAAAGTTCAGCATCCTGCAGCGGTTCCCTGCAGGGCATCACGAGACGTTGCGACTGTCATCTTGCATTGCTAGTTGTAGCAATACAGGCAGTCTATCCATTGGCTCAAAGTGTAGGCATTTGCTCAGAACTGAAGCATGTCAGCGCTGCTTCTTCCAAACATTGGATAAGTCCCCAGCAGATCTCCAGGCATCAGAAGCGGTGCCTACAGAAGAGAGCCGATTTGGCCACTTTGCATTTCGGATCAATGTTCCTTCAAGCTTTTCTCACTGCACCATAGAATGGCACGATTTCCACCAAAACACCAGTCAATTTGAGGCAGATCATCGAGTCAGAATCAACACTACTTTCCACCCAGCTACAACAGTGTTCCCTATGTGCCACATCTTTCATCCATATTTATTGCTGGGAAGATTCACTCAAACTCATTGCACATGACACTGCTGCCAATTAAGTGGAAAACCTCATTTTCATTAGCAACGCCATGTTTGTTGCTCACTCATTCACCACTATTCTTTGCAGTGGTGAAGCCTTATCTCGCACGTGCCAAATGTCCCAACATCCAACTGTTGCCAGACCCATCACACAGCCAATGGCATCCGCCACCAGGTCCCTGAGAGAGAAAGTGCCCTGCCACAGCTGCAGCACAGGAACAGCCCACCTCATCCCTCTGCACAACATGTGCACATTTGTGGCCAAACACAACGCCTTTCACAGCAGATCTTCATAGCCTGTTCAGGGCAGTGCAAACGAAGTTGTTCTTGTGTCCCGTTTCAATGATATCATGGCCAGGACCATCCAAGCTCTAAGGGCATGCCTGTCATGGCCATTTTCTCCTGTTGTAATCGGAGACATGCGTTGGGAGCTACTGCATCGCCTTGCAACACCAATCGAATTGCCTTCTGTTGTGTTCATGAGGGCTGTGCAATGCCTCAGCTGTGAACAACTGAAAACATCTGGGAATTTGATCAAATGAACGTGCGTTACTGGTAGTGGTGGCCACCCACCTCAGAACAAGTCCCAGTCACTATTACCTCTTCAGAGGTACTCAGACGATTCTGCTGTTAGTGTATGCATGAAAAATATTAAATGGAGCACAAAATGAAAACTATGTTATCATGGAAAAGCCGTAAAATCTGTGAATTACGGCAAAATCCTGTGTGCAGTTGCAGACAGTCCCATGAGCGCCCTGCTGTTGTCAGTCTCTGTGTATTAAATTCCTGTTCCATTCATGAGACATTTGCATCATCTTCTGCAGTACGAACAATAGTTTCG